TGGGTCTTGGTTAATCTTTATGGAAGCAAATTGCCGGGCCTTTCTCCCACAGAATGGCTGGTGGGTTTAATTAACCACAGGGCTACCAGGATTCCTTCTAGGAGCGAACAGATCTGGCCTCTAATTAAAGTCTTATACTTCCAAGTCTTTTCCCACTCTTTCTCAGGAGCAGGCAAAAATTAGTGGTGAAAATAACAGGCTATAGGATAAGCAGTGGACCGCAAGATCAGTGGTTCAAGCTCACCACCACTCCTCAGAAACCCTATACAGGGTTGCTGTGAGTGGGGACTGCCTTGACAGCAGTTAACCATAGCAAAAGTCCTTGGGTGATTCCAATGGTTTGTACTTGACTGCTAACACAAATGTTGACAGTCTAAACTCACCCAGCAGTCCCGTAGAAGAAAGGTCTGACAATCTGTTTCTATTAAAATTGTTGTTGTTGTTGTTAGGTGCCATAGAGTCAGCACTCATAGCGACCCCATGCACAGCAGAATGAAACAATGTCCGATCCTGGGCCAACCTCACTACTGTTGCCACACTTGATGCCATCAATGCTGCCACATGGCCAATCCATCTCATGTTGGGGGTCTTCCTCTTTTTCTCTGACCCTCCATCTTACCCAGCATGATACCCTTCTCTAGCGACTGTTCCCTCCTGACAATATGTCCAAAGTATGAGAAACAAAGTTTGGCCATCTTGGCCCCCAAGGAGCACTCTGGCTGCACTTCTTCCAAAACAGATCTGTTGGTTCTTTTGGCAGCCCATGGCACTTTTAGTATTCTCCTCCAACACCATAATTCAAAGGCATCAATTCTTCTATGGTCTTCCTTATTCAATGTCCAGGTTTCACATCCATATGAGGTTATTGAAAATACCATGGCTTGGATCAGGCGCACCTTAGTCCTCAAGCTGACATCTTTGCTCTTCAACACTTTAAAAAGTTTCTGTGCAGTAGATTTGCCCAATGCAATACATCGTCTGATCTCTTGACTGCTACATCCGTGAGTGTTGATAGTTGATCTAAGAAGAATGAAGTCCTTGACAACTTCAATCTTTTCTCCGTTGATAAGAATGTTGTTTATTGGTCCAGTGGGTGAGGATTTTTGTTTTCTTGACATTGAGATGTAATCCATATGGAAGGCTGTGCTTGTTGATCTTCATCAGTAAATGTTTTAAGTCCTCTTCACTTTCAGCAAGCAATTTAAAATTACAGCCAAGAAAACCCTATAGGGTTACTTGGTAACACATGGAATTGCCATGAGTTGGAATCAACTCAACAGCAACTATCAACAACTGAGTCAACATAGCATGTGATGGGATTTGAGGCTGGACCTTGAAAGTCTTGTTGATGCAGATAACACATTTATTGGTCTCTGTTATCTTTATTTTCTTCCAGAAAATATGAAAACCAGAGGTCTCTTGATTTCATCCCTGAGCTATTTTCATTTACATGGACAGATTTTCTTTCTGCAGACAATCATCAACCCTTCCGTGGAAAAAAAGGGCTTCAGCTAGTTTCTATGGCAACTTAATGTCAGAAACCTAATTCAGAACTCTTGAGATTTATTTTCAGAAACTGCTTTTGAAGGGCTGGGCAAGCAGAAGCTGGTCTGGAATAACATTTTCATGTTCATTTTGCTCTTTTAATTTATATTTTTGCCAAGTAATTATTGAGGACCTCACTCAAGGTCAGGTGCAGTGTAAGACTGAGATGTAGAAGAAAGGTCTGGTCATGCACTGAAAAATTAGCTGTAAAAAGCACTATGGCTTGCTGTTCTAATATAATACACATGGGGGCGCCAGAAGTCAGGATCAAGTCGACAGAAGTTATGCTGACAAGACAGAAATGACACTGGGCTTAAGAAATGTTGAAGATGCTCCTGAGAAACTTTTCACTGATGGCAGTTGCTGTCAAGTTGATTCCAGTTCTTAGTACCATTATACAGAACAGAACAAACCTTGCCCTGAGCCATCTTCACGATCCTCGATACCTTTGAACCCATCCTTTTGACTATTGAGTCAATCCATTGAGGGTTTCCCTTGTCTTTGTGAACCGTCTATTTGAGCAAACATCATGTCTTTTCTAGCAACTGGTCTATTCTGATGATGTGTCCAAAGTAAGTAACTCAAAGTCTGGCCATCATCGCTTCTAAACTGCATTCTGGTTAAACAACCAGAATGTCTTCTTTCAAGACAGATTCATTTGTTCTTTTTGGCACAGTGCACAGTATATTTATTCAATGTTCTTTGCCAGTACCACAGTTGGAACCCCTCACTTCTGTGTTCCTTTTTCATCATCCAACTTTCCCCTGCATCTGAAGTGACAGGAAAAAAATGAGTACTAGAGGCCCCTCTCTTTTGTTGTTGCCTGCCTTCGAGTCGGTTCCGACTCATACAGACCCTGTATAGGGCTTCCAAGGCTGTAAATCCTTACAAATGCCTTTGCATAGTTAATAAAGCACAAGTAAACATCTTTCTGGTATTCTTTGCTTTTAGCCAAGATCCATCTGATGTCAGCAATGATATCCCTAGTTCAGTATCTTCTTCTAAATCTGGCTTGAATTTCTAGCAGTTCCCTGTTGATGAACTGCTGCAAATGTTTTCTTAATTATCTTAAGCAACATTTTACTTGCATGTAATATTAATGATCAATCATTATGTTCAATCATTAATAACCTGCAATGTGCACATAATGCAACCTTGCTTGCTGGAAGCGAAGAGGATTTAAAATACTTACTGATGAAGATTAAAGACTACAGCCTTCAGTATGGATTGCACTTCAATGTAAAGAAAACAAAGTACTCACAAGTGAATCAATGAGTAGCATCATGATAAATGGAAAAAAGATTGAAGTTGTCAAACACTTCATTTTGCATGGATCCACATGGAAGCAGCAGTCAAGAACTCAAACGACATATTGCATTAGGGAAATCTGCATGCACAAGACCTCTTTAAAATGTTGAAGAGCAAAAGTGTCAGTTTGGGGCCTAAAGTGTGCCTGACCCAAGTCATAATATTTTCAATAGCTTCATATGCATGTGAAAGTTGAACAGTTAATAAGGAAGACTGTAGAAGAATCAATGCATTTGAATTATGGTGTTGGAGAAGAATATTAAAAGTCCCATGGACTGTCAGAAGAACAAACAAATCTGTGTTGGAAAAAGTACAGCCAGAATGCTCCTTAGGAGTAAGGATGGTAAGACTTTATCTCTCATACTTTGGACATCTTATCTGGAGAGACCAGTCCCTAGAGAAGGACACCAGTCCCTAGGAAGACACCCAAGGAGATGGACTGACTCAGTGACAGCAGCAATGGGCTAAAACATAACAACAAATGTGAGGATGGATAAGGACTGGGCAGTGTTTCCTTTTACAAAGAGTTGAAACTGACTAGATAGCACCTAACAACAACAATGTTTATGGGAGCAGAAAGCCTCATCTTTTGTAGGGGGAGCTGCTGGTGGGTTTGAATTGCAAATCTTGTGGTTAGCAGTTCGACATTTATCCAACAGTGCCACCAGGGCCCTGAGTCTCCTCTTCAGATCTCCTAAACTGTCAACTTCTGAATCCTTGTATGCTTCTATGGAATCTGTGTTTGCACTTAAAAAAAAAAAAAAAAAAAACAGAAAGCAAAACTTGGGTTCTGAAGTTCCCTTATGTGGCCTTGTAACATTTGTGGTTTGGTTTCTTTTTGCACATTTCAGCTCTGAGGTTACAAATGATTGATTGCTTTCCTCTTGAATTTTATAGTGTGTGGGTTTTAAGAGATGAGCCAGGAAATGCCAAAGCCACACAATCCGCAGGAAAATCACCTCCACAGTCATGTTTCTTTGGTCAGACAAGTGCTTTGTCTCCAGCAAGTGACAATAACTTTGAGTCTGACATTTCTGGATCGAGGTTAGCCTCAGACACCCACAAACACATGGGGAGCCCATTTTAGCTTTCAGAGCACCCCCGTATGTGTTTTGTTTCATCTCAGATGCAACCTTCTCTTTCCTGGGCCGGTAGACTGTTCCCCTCACTTAGCCACCAGGGTTCATTTGCAGAATTGAAACCTTAGTTAAGGTTTGTTGAGGTTTGTTTTTTAACATTGGCTGTTCCCACCCACATTTCCTTGAGATATAAATAGAAGGGGGGAAAAAAAAGAGAAAGAGAGAGATTTAATTAGTAAAGCAAGACATTCGATCTATTCCACTTGATCCTTGAAAAGGAAATTTAAGAGTCTGTTCCTATCGCTTTTTCAATCCTATATAAGATAGAGCAGCAAGGCAGCAAAAGTACCTGTTTTTGTTTTGTTTTGTTTTGTTTTGCTTCTTCCCCTCTTTCTTTCTGATTCTTCTTGGTGGACAGTCTAAAAAAGGTGAGTAGCTGGTGGGCCTCCTAGGCCCCAGAATCGTCTTCTCTGCATGCATTCATTCTAGATCTGTGCATGCTGTTCAGATTTCTCTTTCCCCATAGAGTTCACACCTGGAAGAATTTTGATCTCTGGTAGTTTTGGCTTTTCATTCATCGGATTCCCATCCTTCAGGACAGATGAAAGATAATATCTCTTCCACAGAAGGGTTGCTAGCAGCCTACACTGTATGTTGTACCCTGCATTGTAGAATTTGCAACAGTGCCTTTGTCTGGCTGGTGTCTGAAAATGCAATTGCATTTGTTGCCTTGTTGGTTTCTGAGTGGTTTGCAGATGACCACAAACATGACTGTGTATGTAAAGAGAATTTCCTTAAAAGAAAATGAAATTAAATCATTTAAGTGGCTGTTTAAAAAATTTCTGCGTTGGAGTGTAATCAAGAGAGGGCACTGGAATCTTTTCAGTAGTTAGCTTCTAATGTGCATACTTTGTCCTGTCATTGAATACAACAACATACTTCTCACTTTTGAAAAATTCTAGACAATTAAGTATTCTTCTGGGGGCCCCAGGAGGGTGTGTCCCCTTGGATGCCCCTGCTCCTGTTTGCTGTTGACCACGTGTCATTTTTTGGATGAACAGGTGAGCAATGAGCATCACAGATGTTCTCAGCGCTGACGACATTGCAGCAGCTCTGCAGGAGTGCCAAGGTAATGGGGGGGACGTGAGCCGGGCAGGCAGGTGCGGACTTTTCTCACCTGTTCACACCTCTGGTGAAGTGAGAGATGAAAATATGAACTTGGCTAAAAATTCATGAAATAAGAGAATAGCAGTGTGATTCCTGACAAGACTGAAATTATAAAGACATGAGATCCAAAAAATGCGATGGTGCTTCTCTAATCATTGCTGTTAGGAGGCCTGGTAGCATAGTGGTTGGGCTGCTAACCACAAGGTTAGCAGTTCAAATCTCACAACTGCTTCACTGGAGAAAGATAAGACTTTCTGCTCCTATAAAGATTTAGAGCCTCGGAAACCCAGTACAGGATTGCTATGAGTTGGAACCAATTCAATACCAACACCATCACTCCCTCACCACCAATCATAGCTGTCTGGGAGCATGGTGGCTCCATACAATAATCAGTGGTCTGTGAATCACAAGGTCTGTGGTTCTAGCCCGACAGTCCCTCTGCAGGAGAAAGATGAGGCTTTCTGTTCCCTGGAAGAAACCCGATGCAGGGTCACTATTAGTTAGAACTGACTCCACAGAACCTAACAACAACACTTATTGTTGTCTAATTGGTTCTGTCTCACAGCAACCATATAAGACATAGTAGAACTGCTTCATAAGGTTTCCAAAGCTGTAATCTTTATAGAAGCAGACTATCACATCTTTCTTCTGTAGAGCGGTTGGTGGGTTTGAATTGCTGACCTTTTGGTTAGCAACTGAGTGTTCAACTACTGTGCCACAAGTACACCTTTAAAAGACCAAAGAACCTTATCAAAAAAGTGAGAGAAAAAAAGACATCAGAGGATGTGATTTTTCATGGGTTAATTCAGTGAATGTACTTTTCACCATCAATTAGACCAATGATATTGGGGTCTTGGATACACACTGGGCTGGGGTTGGGTGGGCATGAAGGAGGGAGAACAGACAATGGCCCAAACCCAGTGGGAAATGGGCAGGAGATACTATCACAGAGTCATTTTATCTTGATTGACTCAAAATCTTGGACAACTGTTCTTTGTCCTTAGAAATAAAATAAAATAGAGTATCTAAGTAGCTCAGGGATATTATGATAAACCAAAACCCACTGTGGTCAAATCAGTTCTGACTCATAGCGACCCACAGGACGGAGAAGAAATGTTCCATGGGTTTCTGAGGCTGTCAATCTTTACAGAAGCAGACTGCCTTGCCTTTCTCCCTCAAAGCAGCTGGTAGGTTCAAATTGCCAAGCTCTTGGTTAGCAGCCCAATGCTTAACACACACACCATGCCCGCTGCGCTATCAGGGTTCCTGGATAGTATGATAAGTATTTACAATAGCTGTATTTCCAGATGCTGACCAAGGTGCTGAAAATATAAGCTATTGTGTATTTACAGAATACAATCCATTGAGCTTCAGAATAACCCATTTTCTGTTCTTTAGACCCAGATACTTTTGAACCCCAAAAATTCTTCCAGACATCAGGCCTTTCCAAGATGTCGGCCAGCCAGGTGAAGGATGTTTTCCGGTTCATAGATAACGACCAGAGTGGATATCTGGATGAAGAGGAACTTAAGTAAGTGTGGTCCTTACCTGGCATGTGGGAAGAGGTGTGGAGGGGTGCAGTGGAGGCCAATATTTGTAGTATTCCTTCAATAGCCGGCTTTGATGTTAGTCACTCAGCAAAACCTCATTAAAACAAAGAGCATGAGTACATTGGCCACATACCTACCGACACATAGAGTTGAACTAGAGCACTGAAGGCTTCAGGTGCAAACATTTATCCATTGGAAGGGTTTTCTTTGGTAACTGGACTTATCAAAAGCAAGTGATCAACTCTTAAAATCAAAACCCTGCCATTGGTTTCTACAATGAACACTAAGAACTGGAATGATGGTTGCAAACGGATGTTTTACTTCAAGGAAAAGAGTCAGCACAGAGATGCATAGAGTTTCAGCAAATTCCCATCAATCTTTGTCATCCTGTAGGTTTTTCCTCCAAAAGTTTGAGAGTGGTGCTAGAGAACTGACCGAGTCAGAAACCAAGTCCTTGATGGCCGCTGCGGATAATGATGGAGACGGGAAAATTGGGGCTGAAGGTATGTTCATTCCTGTACAGAATCTAAAACATGGCTGGCCAGGGAGTGTCCATAGGGGGCTTGAACTGGGATATCAGACAGATGTGGATTCACTTTTTTCTTTCTTAACTGTAAGAAGCCTGGTAGCACAGTGGGTTAATCATTGAGCTGCTAACCTCAAAGTCTATGGTTCAAACCCACCAGCCACTCCAAGGGAGAAAGGTGTGGCTGTCTGCTCTTGTAAAGATTTATAGTCTCAGAAATCCAAACAGAGCAGTTCTATAAAGTTGTTAAGAGTTTGAATCGACTGGCAGTGGGCTTTCCTAATTGTGCCAAGCCTCAACCTTCTCCTTTCTTAACCACATGAGCCTCAGTCTTCATATCTAGACAACAGGACTAAGGTGAGGTTGCAAATGACTCAGGTAAAGATGCTGGTGTGATGCTCGGGGATGGACTACAGAGGACTACTTTTCTGGTCACTATCGATGAATGGAATATGTCCCTCATCTGATGAGGGAGCCAGCAGGTCCTCTGCCCAATTACTGCCAAAACAGCCTGAGGGCAAATAATGCAAAGGATTTCCACCAGTGGGGATTGAGTCTGTGTGAATAAGAGAAAAGGCACCCTGGTGGCACTGTGGGTTAGGCATTGCATTGCTAACCACAAGGCCAACAGTTCCAATCTACGAGCGGCTCTGCACAAGAAAGATGATGCTGTCTGCTCCCATAAAGATTTACTGTCTCAGAATCTCAAAGGAGCTCTGTCCAGTAGTGTTGCTATGAGTTAGCAATGGGTGGGTGAGGAATCAAAGGATTCTTTGTCTCAAGTGTGTCTCTTATAAAAGATTCACCTGATCTGAGTAGAAAGACCCTTTGTCTCTCAAAGGTTTAAAGTCAAGTGGACACTAATTGGACAGAGAGCAAATAAGTCAACCACGTGCTTGCAGAGCCCTGCATTCAAATGTTAACACACTGGCCTGGCTGTAGGATTCTTTTCATTTGTGTTTGTCCTTCTGCTGATATGCTATTTAGTTACTTGTGTAGACAGCTAATGAGAATTAATATGTGCTCCTTCTGATGGTGCTAGTTTGAAATGAAAATCTGCTACTTTAAACCCTGGTGGTGCTGTAGGTTAGGCATTGGGCTGCTAACCATAAGGTCAGTGGTTCAAACCCACTAGCTGCTCCTCAGAAACAAGATAAGATTATTTGCTTCCGTTAAGACTTTCAGTCTGCAGAACCCTATATAGGGCCACTATGAGTCAGAATTGATTTGATGGCAGTAGGGTTTGACACTTTAAATTCTTACTTAAATAACCTATTCAGAATGATCTGGAGAAAGATGAGACTTTATGCTCCTGTGAAGACTGGAAGCCTCAGAAACCTTAAGCAGGGTAGCTATGAGTCGGAACCGACTGGACAGCACTTAACAACATCATTCAGAATGATACTACTGTAACTTACTAATCAAGAGTGAATGCAACTTTCAAAGAGTGAGAACTTTCATTTAGGTGAGGGGATGTGATTTATTTACAAGTCACCACAAAAGAGGTGAAAGGCAAAGCTTATTAAATAAATAGTAAGCACACCTCTAGTGTTCAATGCCATTCTGTAGCACCTACACACTACATTATTACACAAAACCTGTGTAAGGCACTCAAGTGTGACAATGAATGTAAAGATGGCACAGGACCAACAGTGTCTCTTTCTGATGTGCATGGGGTCACTATGAGTCGGAACTGACAGGACGCCACCTACTAGAACAGCAGCAATGGAGAGAGAGCTAGATACAGTGCTAACACTGCACTCTGTCCAAGGCAGAAACCTTTCAAGAACTGGAAAAAGAGAACAGTCCCACCGAGTTTCAGCTCTAACAAGCTTCATTGGGTTTGAGTTTTCCTCCTCTGACAGGCTTCTGCCTTACACAGGTTCCAGCTTTCACAGGTTTGGGAGCATGGTGACTTTGTAGGATAAATACTAGACTGCAAATCACAAGGCCAGTGCTTTGAGCCTACCAGCTCCTCATCGAGAAAAAGATGAGGCTTTCTGTTCCCACAAAGATTTACAGCCTCGGAAACCCTATACAGGGTTGCTATGAGTTGGAACCGACTCAACAGCTCTTAACAACAACAGGTTTCTACATTACATAGGTTCCATCTTTCATAGGTTTTACAATATAAACTTTTGAGGGTAGGGTTAGGGCTCAATATTATTCTTTAAAATGAAAAAAGTCTGACCAAAGTTCCATGATATTAAATGTTTCCTAAAAATGCAACACACTGCTCCAGAAAAGGGGAGAAACCCTCCCATTTCTGCCTCAAATGAACCAAACAAAAAGGCACATGCTCATGGGTTGTGACAGACCATTAGTTATCCAGAAGTTGTTTATGGTCAGAGAGAAGTCGTTGAACAGAAAACTTGTAATAAAAGGGATTTTTTTGCAATCAAAGAATCCTGATTGTGCAGGGGTTAAAGCACTTGGCTTCTAACCCAAAGGTCAGCGGTTCAAACCTCCAACCTCTTTACAAGAGAAACAAAGGTGTGACCGTCTGCTTCCATAAAGATGACAGTCTTGGAAACCCCACGGGGCAGGTCACCTGTGTCCTATGTGGTCACTATGAGTTGGAATCGACTTGTCAGCATGGATTGGGTTATGACAAGGCTGGAGATGTTTGTGATATTAGATAGATTATGCACAAAGATGGGACATTTCTATCACCTTGCCATACTGCCACCAGCCTTTGTCATGGTGTGGCACTGTAAGATAAAGCACCAAACCACAAGGTCAGTTTGAACCACAAGGTCAGCAGTTCAAATTTACCATTCGCTCTTCAGAAACCCTATACAGGGCTACTATGAGTCAGAACTGACTCGAAAACACTTAATAACAAATACTCTCTAAGACATTATGTTGGGTAAAGAGGAGGGTCAGCACCGGGCGGTGTTTTGTTGTACATGGGGATGCGATGAGTTGGAACTGACTTACAGCACCTAACAAGAACATTAACAAGAGACCTGAGCCTGTCAAGGGCAATTTGCTTCATTTCCTTTCCTCTTCCATCTCACTAGTTGACCACAGCATGTCTTTAAAGGACTCGGCCACCTTCAATGACTGCTCTTATCTCTTCTGTTCTAGAATTCCAGGAAATGGTGCATTCTTAAAGACACCTGTCTATGGAGACACAGAACAGAAAGACAGGGATGAGATAGCCAGCTGGAAGACCTCCAAAGCCCCAAAAATGAGGGGGAAACTCCCCCATATACTCCCCTAATTTATTTATTCATTTCCCCTGACAAAATTCTACAATTGGCTCTTTGTTTGAGTGAGGTCATAAAACGACCCTGGGTGACCTTTTTTGGTGATGGGTATGCTCGGATGAATCCTGTAAGGCCTTTGGTAGACAAATGCCTTTGAAAAACGTCATCCAATAAAGACATGTTTCTCATCATCTGCTGCTGTGTGGGTGTGTTTTTTGTTAGTAAGGTTCGAGGAAGAAAGTAGTTTGAGGATGGGGCAGCATTTGCCACAAAACAAAACTCAGAAGGAAGGGGCAGGAAAGAAGGAGGAAGGAAAACAGGGAACCCAGGGAGGAAGTGGGAAGAGTGCAGTGAAACTGTGGGAATTGTAACCAATGTCATGAAATAAAAAGTATATAAATTATTGACTGGGAAACTGACTTACTCTGTAAACGTTCACCCAAACCACAATCAAAAGTTAAAAAAAGAAAAGGAAGCAATTTGAGGACCAACAGCTTGTCAAATACAGGTAGGTCCTACTGAGCATGCTGAGCAAGTCACACTGGTGTTCTACACCAGTGAGCAGGGAAACCAGGGTTTTTATTTTGTGTTTTTAAGTCGCAAACTAAATGGCATCATGCTAGAATTTTCTCTGCAAGCCTCTGGAATTACTATGAAGAGATCTGAGCCAGCATGAAATCTTACTAACCTGCTAGAAGTTAGTGTCAGAAGAGAGATTTAAGTCAAAACAAATAGTATAAAAAAAAAAAAAACAAAGTAGGAGACTATGTTGTTAGTTGCTGTCAAACCAGCCACCATTCACCAGGACCTCAAGAGTAGTAACTGAATGAAATGTTGCCCAGTCCTACTCTACCTTCATAATTGTGAGTATGAGGAGGCTTCAAAAAGTTCATGGAAAAATGGAATTAAGAGATAATGGAATTTTCCCACAAACTCTTTGACGTCCTCTCACATGTTTCAGTTCATTGCTGCTGCCTGTATCTTGCAAGTGTCTTCCAAAAGAGTGGGCTCATCTTCCAGCATTCTACCAATCTGTTGTGATCCATAGGGCTTTCATGGGCTAATTTTCAGAAGTAGATCCCCAGGCCTTCTTCCTTCCTACTCTGCCTTAGTCTCAAAGCTCCACTGATATCTGTCCACCACGAGTGACCTTGCTGGCATTTGAAATACAGGTGGCATAGTTTCCAGCATCACAGCAACACAGAAACCTCCACAACATAAGAAAATGGCAGCCGGTGTGGGGGGGGGGGGGGGGGGAGGGGCGGTGCTCTTAGGGGCTATACTAAGCCAGTTACCTTCAGTTCCAATTCATGGAAACCCCGTGTGTCTCAGAGTAAAACTGTGCTCTATAGGTATTTCAATGACTGGTTTTTCAGAAGTGCATCTCCAGGTCTTTCTTCCAAAGTGCTTCCAGGTAGACTCGAACTTCTAACCTATTAGTAATCAAGTGTGTTAATTATTCACGCCACACAGAGACTCTATTGCTGTGACAGTATACCATAAACAGACCCATTTTCAAGACTTTTTTTTTTCCTTAGAAAAACAAGCTATTTGAGACTTAACCTGCTGTCACCCAACCTCCTAACACCTCCCCTTTGCCTTCTTCAACCATTACTTTCCTGGCAGTCACCTGATACCACTTTGATACACCTCCATTGCAGTAACATTTGAGGCTAACCTCAGGGGTCTTGTTTCTTGTTATAGGTTTTCATTAGGACTAAGAAGCCTGCAGCCACGAATTTCTCATTAGCCTGGCTTCCAAGGGCCAGGTTAAAGATGTCCTCCCTGGCTGACCCTGAGAGTTGAGGATGCTTTGGAGTAATTGAGATCTTTCCCCTGAAACTTACTCAAAACATCACGCTTTTCACCCAAACCCCAAACTTACAAAAAGCCCTGGGCTCTCCCCTATTGTTTTCCCCACACTAAATACCTCAGTGACTTGTGAATCCCTATTTGTTTGTTTTAAATAGAGCATATTAATTTGTCATACATAGAAATCTATTTTATTTTTGACTAGACTCAGATTTGGAGATAGAAGCTCTCAGTGAGGACAGCCTACGTCTCTTGGCAATCTGTTCCTGACATTTTTCTTTGGCCTCCTTCACCCTCTTGGCCAAAAGCTTGGTGTATTCTGTGGACCTCTCCTTATTTTTCTTAGTGCATTGTTTCTTCAAAGCAATACGCCGATGTTTGTGTTGCAGGATGCGTGGAGTTACAAGACGCTGACTCTTGGGAACTTTGGTCCTGGGTCTTTTCCCTTCTTTGGTCAGTGGCTTTCTCACAACACACTGGTGGACATCATCTTTTTTAGGGAGATTGAAAAATTTGTGTATCCCACTAGCTTTTTTGGGCTCTGGGTGATGAGGCACAGTTGTATCAGTCAGTCCTGGGATCTCTTTCTCCGTTTTTCACAATAACCAAGTTGAGAACACCTAAGTTGGCATCCACAAGGCAACCCCCAGACAGATTTGAGCTTTCTCTCTCCAGTTCTCCTTGGTCTGTAACAGCAATGCCCCTTACTTAGAAGCAGGTGGATACAGCCATGGGTCAGATAACACCCTACTTCATGGGAAAACCTTGCTTGTCGTTTCCACCAGGGATGCGGACAACATCACCCTTCCACTAATCACCCAGAGAGTCAGCGGCAAATTCTGTGGTAATTTCGTTTCTCATAAAAGCTATGAAGATTGCGTTCGTCATCCACTTCAATGAGTTTCTGGCAGCCGGTGGCTGGAAAGCAGATGTTCACCTTCATGGTGAAGCAGCCAACGGCCTCCCTGGTGCCACGAAAAAGAGCTTGGTTGGTTTTTAATCATTTTTTTAAATTATTTTTGTTGTAACTATGTAGAGAGTCCTTATATAGCACTATAAGCTAAGCACTGGACTGCTAATCACAAGGTCAGGGGCTCAAACCCACCAGTCACTCCTCAGAAACCCTGTACAGGGTCATTATGAGTTAGAACCAACTCAATGGCACTTAAAAACAACAATACGAAGCAAAATCCATCTCCTTTCAGCAACGTCCTACATGTACGTTGATGGCATTCTAATCTTTATGTCAACAATCCTGCTATTTCTAGTCACCACTGTAAACACTGCCCCTGGTCTTCTCTACATCCAAGATTTACTGTTGTCAGTGTTGTGCCCTCTACCACATCTTTTAAGAAAATAATTCTCAAGGCATATGTTTCTTACTAATTGAGCCAAACTGTGGTATAGTCTAAAGACTACTTTGGGGGGATAGTTTTGGTTAAAAGTATAAAGAATACCTCAAGGCAATCATTTATTGGGTTCATCCAGTCTTAGTGGATCCAGTAGGCCTGAACAATTGTGAAGCAGCACAGGACCGATCCAACAGTGTTTCATTTTGTTGTACAAGGAGCTATTATGTGTCAGAACTGACCTGATAGCACCTAACAACAACTTGAAGAATGTGAAGTTCTGTTCCACGTTTCTCTCCCTTTTGAACAGGATCCAGCTACCGTGACTGTGATCAAAGTGTTTGGTAATGGAAGCTGGGCACCATCCAGTTCTTTGGATCTCATGATAGAGGTAATAGTTCATGAAAACAATGAGTCCTATAGTCTATCTCCGTCCCTATGAGTGTCTGTTTTAAGAGGGTCAGGATGAGTCATTTTCAAAGTATGAGGTAGGTACTACAAAAGAAGCTCAAAATGACTTTAGGGAGACAGGGATCAAAATTTCTTTTTTTAATATAAACACTGGACTGCTAACTGCAAGGTCAGCCGTTCAAACCCACCATCTGCTCTATAGGAGAAAAATGAGACTTTGTATTCCTGTGAAGATTGTTGTTGTTGTCGTTAAGTGCCACTGAGTCAGAACTGACTCAGGGACCCTGTATAGGGTTTCTGAGAGGTGGCTGGTGAGTTGGAACCACCATCCAGCAATTCAAACCAAACTTGCAGTCAAGTGCTTTTTCCATGGTGCCATATCAGGACTCCTGTAAAGCTTCACGACCTCAGAAACCCTGTACAGGATCGATGTTTGATTGTTAATTTTTAGAGCAGCTTTTGGTTTATAGAAAAATTGTAAGGAAAGTATGAAGAGTTCCCATAAGCTCCTTAGGCTCCCTGCATTGTTTCCCTATGTGTTACTATTTTAAAATTTAAGAATCATGCATTTATTTTCATAATCATTAGGGAAAAGAAAATGAATGCACATGCGTGCTTTTAATATTATCTGTTAGTATGAAGCTAAAGAGAATATAGGGTTTGCGAAAGTCCATCTATTTCAAGAAAAATATGAAGTAATAGTAGAGGTGGTATTTCAGTCAACAAAAGTCATATTTTCAAGGATTGAAAGTTGGGGAATACAGTTTTAAAATGAATTCTTTGGGAAAAGGTCAAAGAATGGAACTCTTTTTGTGGTCTCTCATGGCACCTCTTCCTGCATACACCTGTACACCCATCCTCTTACCTACTCATCCTTCAGATATGCCCCATCCTGGCAGGCTAGTACTCCTACCAGGAAGCTTCCAATGCATTTGTGAATCAAAGTAGAGACAGCAAGAGAACTTCCTGTTCTGTACTGGTGACCTACTCTGACTTTTGTTGGGTGTCCTCGAGTTGATTCTGACTCATAGTGACCCCATGTAATAGAGCAGAACTGCCCCCATAGACTTTACTACACTGTTATCTTCGCATAAGCAGCTCGCCAGGTCTTTCTGCAGAGTCTTTAGGTAGATTCAAACCCCTGACCTTTCAGCTAGCAGCCAACCACTGAACTGCTGCACCACCAGGCCTTCTTGCCCCAGTTTTAGAAACGTAATTTCAGCTACGTGTTGTCAATAGATAGTAAGTAGCAATCAAAAGAAAGTATGTCTCTGTATTTGTTGTCAGGCGCTATCTAATCAGTTCCAACTCATAGCGACCCTATATGCACAA